ATAGATGGATGTATAGATAGATAGATAGATAGATGATAGATAGATAGACAGACGGACGGATGGATGGATAGATGATAGATGGATGGATAGATAGATAGATAGACGGACGGACGGACGGACGGATGGATGGATGGATAGATGATAGATGGATAGATAGATAGATAGATAGACAGACAGACAGACAGACAGTTCACACTCCTTCAGCGTCGGGGTGCGGGGCTGCTGGGACGGGCTGCAGGTGATCCTGAGAGGCAGCAGAGACATGACTGCGCCTCCTCCTCCCGCCTCACATGCCTCCTCTGAGCTGGAGCGGGTCACAGCAGAAGGACGAGTGATTTAGATGGTACAGTGAGGTCAGTTAATCAGAGATGCTAACTCAAGGGGTATAGAGATTCGGCACCTGATGAATCCACACTGGGAATTCTTCTCGGCTGAACCACCACTGCTGGATTTTGAGGAATTACTGTTGGACCATATGGACTCTGTGTGGAGCACACCAGACTTATTAGAGTCAACTAAAACTACAATCAAAACCATAAAGAAAAAGGTGTTAGCTGAAATAAACATTATTTTATTTATATATTTTATTTCAGCTAGTTGCCAAGGCAACATTTCTCATTTTCTTTTGTTTAACTTCGTATTAAAATAACTAAAACTGAAATAAAAAGAAATTGAAATTATATCTACATATTTAAAAACTAATAAAAATGGCAAAAACACACAACAAAATTACTAAAACTTTAATTAAAATTCAAACAAAATATGAAATAAAAACTAAAATATTAATAAAAACTATTATAAAACTATTTAAAAAGTATCTCAATAATACTAAAATGAATAAAAATGTGTCTACATCTTTAAAAACTAATAAAAATGACAAAAACATTAAAATTAAAACAAAATCTAGAAATAAAAAAAAACGAATTCAAAATGTTAATAACTATAACATATCACAATAGTACTAAAATAACACTGGATATCAGTTTACAGTAAACAACAAAACAAGATAAAATAAGAAGAAATAAGATCTTTCCTCTGCACAAGTTAATAGTCTTTAAGGGTCTTTCTAAAGCAAATTCTGCATCACTGCATGAGAATATTATGAATACAATTATGAAAAATGAGGCTTGATAAAACAGCTTACCTTTTGGAGAATTTTCATGTTCCATAATCAGCTGATACTGTAATTCTGTAAAAGAAAAAGTAAATATGCAAGTATGAAAATAATATGCAAGATTTTTCATTTTCAGGTGAAAACCATCGTTTTGTGCCCTATTTGTGTATAAACTATATTTGTGACCCTGGAGCACAAAAGCAGTCTTAAGTCGCTGGGGTATATTTGTAGCAATAGCCAACAATACATTGTATGGGTCAAAATTATTGATTTTTCTTTTATGCCAAAAATCATTAGGATATTAAGTAAAGATCATGTTCCATGAAGATATTTAGTACATTTCCTACCATAAATATATCAAAACTTAATTTTTGATTAGTAATATGCTTTGCTAAGAACTTAATTTGGACAACTTTAAAGGCGATTTTCTCAGTATTTTGATATTTTTTTTGCACCCTCAGATTCCAGATTTTCAAATAGTTGTATCCAAATATTGTCCTATCATAACAAACCATACATCAATGGAAAGCTTATTTATCCAGCTTTCAGATGATGTATAAATCTCAGTTTCAAAAAATTGACACTTATGACTGATTTTGTGCTCCAGGGTCACTTTTGATCAATTAAACTAGGTCATGGATGTAATGAAAAAGAATGTTAAAATGTACCTTGGAATACTTTTAAATGTTTGCTTTAGAATGCCGGACAATTTGCATCTTCATTACATATGAATTGATATCTAACATGTTAATTGGTTTTCTAAAATGTAAAAAAAAAAAAATACATTATTTGGCATTTAAAATTGAAATTAAAATATCATGTCAATATTACATTTAAGATATTTTGTTCCTCAATCAGGTTTCGACTCGCATTTCCCTCTTTGTTTGAGGAAGTGACATCATCAGCAACCTTCTGACCACATGCTTCAAACAGAAGTACGTTTGTTTTACAGTCTGTATCAGTATCTCATTACGTTTGGCCTCAATGTTTCAACTGTTTTGGGGTACAAAGATTTTAACCTCTAGAATACTGGGGTAAAGTGTCCCTCTTATCGCGTGCAGTGTCTATGCCAGTTTTCACCTTTGGTATTTTAGACCCTAAGTTTTAAAATGTGATTTTTTTTTTCAAAGTTAAGCAACCTTCTCAAATGAAATGAGGAAAATGTTTGTTACAATGGCACCATTTCCTAAGAAGGACTGCAGTGCAGCACACCTTTATTAACACGCTTCAGATCTTCAATTTCTGCATGCAGTCTCTCCAGCGTGTCTTTATGCTGTTGCTGGAGGAACAGAACATCTTTCTCCAGAGAGGCGATGCGTGTGCCCTGTGCATCTGTCCTGGGCTGAGCAGCTGCTTTTGGGCTCTTGATGTCCACAGGTGGAGATCTGACCATACAGTCGCTGGACAGATGTCTGGGGTATCTCACCCGGTCCAGATCTCGTACCCTGGTCCAGCTGGGCAGGTTTCGCAGGGGTGGCAGATTACTGGTGGACATGGTGCTACTGGGATGAATATTAGATTAATAATTCACTTTAGCACATGTCTTCTGTTTATAACCGCAATGTGGACCTTGCATGAGACAAAGATCTATTCATACGCATCTAAACGGCACATTTTAACGCTGAAAACTTTTATATCAAGTCAAGTCAAGTCACTTTTATTGTGTTCACGTGCCTTGGTGAGTGGAATTCTTGGGAGCGTGCTCCAGACAGTGCAGAAACAATTTACATATAAACATACAGACCTCAACAGATGTGCAATATACACACACATATAGTCAGTACACACAGCGTACTATTAGACATACTTACAGTTAGCACTACACATTATACACAGTATGTACACATTCTACATAATGTAGACATATATACACACAAAATATGCGAAGGTGCAACAGATTATATATAAACTGGATACGCAAAATGTCATGGATGTGCATTGGATGGTATCCAGTGGTAGCAGATAGATTATTGTATTTAAATGCAGCGTGTATGTATAGTCCAGTGTTGAACTGTTGGAGTTAAAGTGCAGTGTGGGAGTATGCTGTAGGGTGCTGTAGGGTGTGTATGTGCATCTTATCAAAACATATGCTATATAAGTCAGCTTGTTCTAAAATGTAGCTGCATAATATGGGTCTGTCTTCATTTACATACAACATAACGTTACCTCATTTCCATAATCGATGCCCCAGCTGATTTCGTCATCCATCACTTCCCCGACAATATTTAACATTTAACATTTAAACGGGTATTTCTTCAAATGAAGGTCATTTTTGTCTTTTCAGCTGAAATGCCGGCGAGAGTCGCGCGGTGTCGCTTCCTGGATGAATCAAACGTTGCTATGGCTACCGCGCGCATCGATTACGACGTGCAGACGCATTGAGGAAACACGCACACATGATTTGGACTCCTTTTTTTTTATTATTATTATTATTTATTTTCCATGTCAGTAAACGTATTTAAAATGAAACACAGAAAGGAAATGTGAAATAATCTAGAACACAAAACCACCAGATAACTAGTAAAACAACCAAAACTGTATGCAAAAGTGAACAGCATGTGTGAAATCTGAACAATTACAGTCCATTTATGTACACAAGTGCAGTATCAACTGTCATGCAGTGATTTTTATCAAAAATAATCAGACCAGAGCAAAAGCTAGACGAGCAAATCGTGGATACAATCATGATCAAATGTGTTAAGACTCGTTCATCGCTCACAATATTACTATCAAAACACAGCAAACACAGTTTCACTAAAAAACAAAACAAAAATTCAATTAATATAGAACACACTCACAATGTGATGTTGGCAAACCTGAAAGCCTCCAAATTACTGGTACATACACTTTTTGCTTTCTAGTTTCTTTGAGAGTCTATTTCAACCAGATAATAAATCATTTTTCCATCCATCTTGGGTATTTGTGGCTATATGTGCGTTAATTTAACATTACAATAACTGATTTTACTTTTTTTTTTTTAATGCAATGGGATAAATCCAGAAGTGTGCAGATACGGCTGCATCCACGGACTATTGATGAATTAAAATAAAGGATACTTTGATACCTAGCATTATTAAAAATAATAATAATCATTTTTTTAAAAAGTAACACAATTGTGACCACTTGAAAAACAGGAACAAAAGTCAAAAGTGCAGCTCGACATTAAAAATGGAAAACATGATAAACCTGTGATAAAGCAGAAAAAAAGACAAACCTTTGGGAAAAAATAAGACTAACTCCCCACAGTTTATTGTGCCAAAGAGGCTCCCGGTAAATGCATCTTCAACAAGCATAATGCTGAGATGCTGTACATATTTCAAGTCTTTATTCAATAATAAAGCCTGGCAAAAAAAAACTTTTTTTCAAAATCTTTGGGGTTTTATTGCCGGATACATGCAAACTACTACAAGATGAATTCGAATGGAATCCTACAAGCAATGCTATAATTATTCTCTTTGATTTATTCCATGCACGCAAGCTCTGTCTGCCAAAGTAAAACGCTCATTTAAATGTGTGCATGGATATTGACATTCTGCATGATCTGGAATACTGAATATATATTCATTTTTGTTGGCGCACCTAAAATCTGAACATCATTTCTCTATCTGAAGGCCAAAGGTGTGGCGTCGGGCAGGGAACGCCTGGGGCGATGGCGGTTGGCGATCAGGGTGTGTAGGCCGGCGGAGGCTGGAATTGGTTGGCAATGTCATAGTCAACTGGGTATGTTTCACTGCTCTCCTCCATCTCTGAGAGGAGCTCCAGGGCCTGCTCCTCCTCCTCGGTGGGGTAATGACGGAGCAGGTTGGCCGCCGTGGCTAAAATGGAGGCACCGCCTGCACCGGCCACCAGGTAGAAGCTGATGGCAAAAGTGACGTAGATGAGCGAGCCGTGGTACTTCTTGTGCTGCTGCTGCAGGGACAGAATCAGTTCCGAGGCCCAGTAGCAGAAGCCGATGACTGTAGCGCACTGGAGCACTGCAATACAGAGATTCATGAAGACATTAAAGGGTTAGTTCACCCAAAAATGAAAATTCTGTCATTAATTGCTCACAAAAAGTATTCTCGTAGCTTTGTATAATTGCGGATGAACCACTGATGTCACATGGATTGTTTTACAGATCTCCTTGCTACGTTTCTGGACTTGGGAACATTTCAGTTGTATTGCTGTCTATGCAGGGTCAGACAGCTCTCAGATTCCATCAAAAATATCTTAATTTGTGTTCTGAAGATGAACGAAGGTCTTACAGGTTTGAAACGACATGTGGGTGAGTAATTAATGACACAATATTCATTTTTGGGTGAACTAACCCTTTAAAGGGACAGTTCTCCCCCAAAAAATGAAAATGTAATTTAACCCTTGTACTGTGCTGAAAAACCTTTACTTAATTTTGTGTTCCCATCAAAAATTGCTTTTATGTCTCTCATTATGCTTTGTTATCATCAGATCTTGGATTCAATCTTTTTGTCAGCTTGTTTTCTTTTAGGCCCCGTCCACACGGAGACGCGTTTAGCTGTATACGCATACATTTTGTATCGTATAGGCGTTTCGTCCACACGGATCCGGCGTTTTGGGAGTCTGAAACCGCTATCTTTTGAAACTGGGTCCCAGAGTGGATAAATCTGAAAACGCCACCCTTGTGTTTTCGTGTGGACAGCGAATCCGTATATTTTCTGAAACGATGACGTCATCAGCCCACGTCTCGCCCCTAGTCAGACACCGCTACGTCACGTAACAGCAACAAAAACACGAACAAACACTGAACGATTGTCTTTTTATTAACTAACATTAACACAGATTAATAAATGTATTGTTCCATGTTCGTTTGTATACCGCGCGCAAGGTTTATGCGCATAGTCCAAGTCGTCTTCTCCGTTTTTAGTGTATCTCTGTGGCAGAATTACAGCGCCACATGCTGGTCTGGCATGTATACTACATCGTTTTGTGTCGGTTTTGTGGTTTCGTGTGGACGCAGATATTTCTTGAGACGAGGGGGGAAAAAAATATAATTTTATATTTTATTTTCATTTTAATAATTTTTTTAATTCTTCTGGGAACTGATTAGTTGTAGGCCTCATTGATTTGAGCTTATGCACCTCAGTTTTTGAGTAAAAAAGCATTATTTGTGCATAATTTTGGCAATGTTCACTCAAAAACTGAGGTGCATGAGCTCAGATCAATGAGGCCTTTGATCAAACAGTTTCAAAACGAAATAGAAAACGTATAAATAATTTAAACTAATTCAAAGAAAACAAGCTGACAAAAAGACTGAATCCCAGATTTGGTAATATAGCATTATGAGAGATTTATAAGCCATTTTTCGTAGACTCGTCAATTTTGATCGGGAACACCACAAGTGTAACAAGATCGGGGGAAAAAATCCTAAAAAATTATAAAGTTGTTATACCCTTTGTGAGCAAAGTCAGCAAGTTTCAGTCCACTGCAACATTAACTAGGATTTTAGGGAAAAAGAAAATCCATCCTCCATGTGATGTGCCTTAGGTATGTGTGTTGATTATTAAATCCAAAATTGAATCTGTTTATCATATAAAGTAATTGTATCTCTTCACAAGACTTGTATTAAACCACTCAATACGTATGGATCCATTTTATCATTCCTTTATGACCTTTTTACTTTTGGTGACCAGGACTTTCAATGGAGGAACAGAAACCTCTCAGGATTTATTAACAATAGTCTAACAGTTTTGGAATTACATGAGGGTGAGTAAATGACGACAGCATTTTCATTTTTGAATGAACTATACATTTAATACTACAAAAAAATAACTCTTTATATTAAGAACTAAATCCTTCATGAATTCGTACCTGTGAGGATGTGAGCGAAAGCGTATCTGCGTGTGATCTTGAGGGCTGGATGTTTGGGTGCAAAGACATCCAACAGAAATGCCGTGAGGCTGCACAAAATGCCCAAGAAACAGAAAGCAGCAATAACCCGCAAGAGCAGGATGGACTGAGAGTTGATGCAGTAATCTGTGAGAGAGAATGAACAAAACAGTTTATCATAAAAAGTGCAAGTAGAAAATGTAATTATGCTTCAAACTGACTTCAAAATGTAATTATGCACACTTCCGTTCAAAAGTTTGATTGCGGTTTCCACAAAAATATGAAGCAGCACAGCTGTTTTCAGCATTGATAATAATAATAAGTTTCTTGAGCAGCAAATCAGCATATTAGAATGATTTCTGAAGATCATGTGACACTGAAGACTGGAGTAATGATGCTGAAGATTCAGCTTTGATCACAGGAATAAATTACATTTTACAATATATTACTATACACACACAGTTGTTTTAAATTGTAATAATATTTCACAATATTACAGATTTTTGATCAAATAAATGCCGCCTTGGTGAGCAGAAGAGACTTTTTCAAAAATCTTAGGCAGTTTATCTCAGTTTGGGATACCAACCCTCGATGAGTTTGTCATCTATATATCCCAGGACGTCTGCAACACCGAGCTCCTGTCTGGGACAGTTTCCACCATGGACGCGGAGCCAGGCTGGTTCTGCCAGGGCCGTACAGAGTGCAGTGATTGAAAGCGCCCCGGGCAGTGCCGATGCTAAACTCCGCTCTGGATGTTTGGGTAGAGCTGTTCCAGCTCTCCTCCTCCGGTTTCCAGGCGCAGCTGTTCCCGGGGGTGCGTACATGGTCTTAAAATCTCTGAAAACCCTTGATTAAAACAGTAAAACTCAAATATGAGTTTGAGTGAGAGTGGACAGATCTGGGGTTTGACCTCCGCTGGGCACTACAGACAAACAAATCAAAACAAAAATCATGTTACAGTAATCTGGAGCAAAACATGAGACTACATGTGTTTTAATTCATGGAAATGACTAAGAACTGAGTAATTTCTACATATTTGTAGTATGTTAAGAATTTTATTGATTGATTATACAAATTATAGATCAATAATTAGAGCAGGAAAATCTTGTTGTAATCAATAAAATAAAGAAAATAATATTCAAAACGAATAATTTTTACATGTAGATATTCAGCAGATTCTTTTATCCAAAGTGACTTATTTTTATTATTTTTTTTTAGTAATAAAACGACTTATTTTGATTATTAATAACAAAAAACTATTGGTAGGCACTGCAGACACTAATGATAATACAGCAGCTTAACCTACTTGTTTATCACTTTTAATCATTATTATGTTAACTAATTTTAAATGAGAAAATAATATTCAAAACGAATAATTTTTACATGTAGACATTCAGCAGATTCTATTACCCAAAGTGACTTATTTTTATTTTTTTTTTTTTAGTAATAAAACGACTTATTTTGATTATTAATAACAAAAAACTATTGGTAGGCACTGCAGACACTAATGATAATACAGCAGCTTAACCTACTTGTTTATCACTTTTAATCATTATTATGTTAACTAATTTTAAATGATTAATTACTGGTCAGAATAAACATACACACTTAATAACAGAAAAATACATAAAGAATACTGCGATTTTTTTCAATCTTCCAGTTGTATAACAAACGATTAATAGTATATTATACCTTTTATTTAAACAGTATATTTACCTGTTTGCTGTAACTGAAGCTCCTCTGTCAGTTTTTAATCAGATTTGATCATTTATGACATGAGCTGGCCTTACACCTTCACAAAACCCTTTAAAACCTTCTCAAATCCCACCGAAATATAAAACAACTTAGTAAAACAAATATATAATGTGTTCAGTCTCGAATTATCCCTCTGGTCTCCGCTATATCGTAGACATTTTCGTGTGTTTTATTGTTGGTTTCCAGTAAAAAGCGTAAACAATAGTCCGTCCACTTCCTCCATCAGACGGAGAGCTCCTCCTGCCTCGGACTTCCGTTTCCTGTGTGTTGCCGTTTGAACCAATCAGACGCGTCCTTCAGCTGACGTCAGTCCTCGAGCACATGCATGACGTTTAATGTGAACAATCGAAACTATTCTGAGTAGTAACTAATTACATGTAATCTGGATTACGTAATCAGATTCCAAAAATTAAGTACTTGTAATTAGATTAAATTACATTTTAAAATACTCGTAATCAGACTACAGTTACTTTTTTATTGATTACATGATTACATATCAGTGTTGGGGAAAGTTACTTTTAAAAGTAATGCATTACAATATTGCGTTACTCCCTAAAAAAGTAACTAGTTACGTTACTTAGTTACTTTTTATGGGAAGTAGTGCGTTACGTTACTTTTGCGTTACTTTCGCGTTACTTTTTAAATATGAGCAGGGCTTGATTGTTTTTAATATAAGAAGTTCTATTTATAGCCAATGTAAAAGCCCTTTCACACCAAAAAGTGTAATGAATAAACCTCAGGCTGAAGCAAAAGTAAATTCACGTCTGTACGGTAGAACGCAGGAGAAGAAATACTCTTCAGCAATAAAAAAAACAAAGCACAATTGTTAGTTTATCTAAAGTCATTTTTGATTATTAGTATGGTTGAACTTGATCATCAAAGGTCAGCAGCAAAGACATTAGTACGTAACTCGCATTACTTGTAATGTGTTACCCCCAACACTGTTACATATTATTTACACAATAGCAATATTACTCATAATTTATTGATTCTCCCCAATTCCTATTTTTCATCTTTTTAAATGTTCCTTTTTAAAATAGCCTACCGCTTATATACACTCAGAAAGTCTTCCAGTTTTGTGGGCATTCACACAAAGACCAGTCACTAGCAGTCAGGTGGCTATAATTACACAGAAACTTGAGAGGCCACACAACATTTGGCCATACAAAAATCATTTTCAGGGGGAAAAAGTGTTTTAGCATTGCACCAACTACTGATAAACACTCATTTTTATTTGTATTATTACTCAGTAGGTTATTTAAACATGTATTACTATGTCTTTGGAAGGCTTTTGTCTTTCAAACACATTAAAATGCACATGTTATTTCTTATTTACATGTAATGCAGGCATTCCCAAACTTTTTTGTCATCTGAATCACTTTCACCTAATATATTTACTTGAAGTACCCCTGAGATTTTAAAATAAACATTAAAATAAACAACAAGTATCACATTTGCATGTTCACAAGTCTCTGATGTTTGTTAATGGTCACATGAAATACAGGTAAACAAATAAAATAGTCAATTTTTTAGTAAGTGTTTTATTTTTATTGATGATCATTTAAAACGATTTTTTTTTTTTTTTTTACAATATTATGATTTTAGTTAATTGTAAGCTTTTCGTTAAACTCACGAACCCCAGTTTGGGAAACCTTGACGATGCACTTCATTTTATTAATAACAACGAATGGAATATATTTTCTTACTATTTGTATCAACAAGATTATCCTATTTAAATCAATGTGATAAATGAGTTTGGTCCAAAGTAATCTAAAAGTAATCAATCGTAATGTGTAATGTAATGGATTACTTTACAAACTACAATTTTTGTCATGCCTATTATATTTTTTAAATAATAATTTGTAGATCAATGTACCTCATCCATGGAAAGTTTCAGGGAAATATAATTGATAAAATTACATTAAAAAAATTACTACAATTTTTGTCATGTCATTTGGAATCAGTAACGGACTACAATGATAAATGAGTTTGGTCCAAAGTAATCTAAAAGTAATCAATCGCAATGTGTAATGTAATGGATTACAAACTACAATTTTTGTCATGCCTATTATATTTTTTAAATAATAATTTGTAGATCAATGTACCTCATCCATGGAAAGTTTCAGGGAAATATAATTGATAAAATTACATTAAAAAAATTACTACAATTTTTGTCATGTCATTTGGAATCAGTAACGGACTACAATTTGTAAATAATCTACCCAGCACTGCCTTCAAAGTTTTTTAATGGAGGCACAGATTTAGGTGTTCATTACAAGTATTTTCATGACCATCATGCCATGCGTTCACTGTGAGGACAACATTTCATCCATGTAGGCACAAGAGTATCTACATAAAAACAGAGATATGTAATGGATTACTTTACAAACTACAATTTTTGTCATGCCTATTATATTTTTTAAATAATAATTTGTAGATCAATGTACCTCATCCATGGAAAGTTTCAGGGAAATATAAATGATAAAATTACATTAAAAAATTACTACAATTTTTGTCATGTAATTTGGAATCAGTAACGGACTACAAATTGTAAGTAATCTACCCAGCTCTGTCTGTTCATGTGATGAAATATAAGATTTCCTCATAATACACGTATGTTCATGCAGAGATCATTTCACTCTTATTTCACATTTTGCTATTATAGGAAATTAAATAAACCTAATAAACTAAAACTGAAACTGAAGACGTGCTTTCAGTTAAAATAAAACAAAATGTATTTAAATAAAACATTAAAAAAAATAATTAATAACATTAATAAAATTTAATTAAAACGCTAAATTAAGTTAAATTATAATAGGTCTCACTGTATTTGAAAGATTTTAACGTCAACCGTTAAAATAATTACGTAAAAGCTCATTTCCCGCTCATTTTACGTTCATGAACACTTTCGCTACAGTCCTGATGGTGGCGCTGCTGCCGCGCTTTTGTATCAACAGGAAAACGCTGAAAGCACAAAGCAGGAAGTGCCCACACTCCAGTCCAGTAGGTGGCGGTAAATGCACCTTTCAGTTGGTTTGCCAACCACCAATACAATTTAAAGAAGAAGAACAAAGCAGGAAGTGGGAAGCTGCTGATAAACACAAGTCTTGAAGTTGTGACATTTGAGAGAGAACCGTGTAGCTGACGGTGGAGGACTTACATGTCATATAATCACAAATATAATGCAGGTATCTGAAATGAAGGGCGCTCTGGAGCTGCTGCAGCGGGTGAGCGCTCACCCGGACGCTCGCTGCTGGTGCGTCGCGTGGAGCCCGTCTGGTACTTTGCTCGCGTCATGCGGCGGTGACTGCGCGATAAAAATTTGGGGTAAAGAAGGTAAAAATACAACATGCATGGTTTTTTTTTTCTTCCACACATCGCCGTATGAAACCATGCACTTATATATGAAAGCTGAAGTATGTCAAGTTGAAGTTAATATGTACAGTGATGCACAAAAAGCAAATAATATAGGTTATGCAACACCCTACACACTTTTTGCTATTTATTTAACATGTACTTGCAAAACGGTATCTGATTATAGATTATTTTGTACATACGTATTTTACACATATATTTTTATTTCTATTTATATATATATACATACACAGGCGATCACATTTTTTTTTTAATAATTCGTATTTTTAATACAGACTGCATTTATATGATCAAAAATTTTGGGATAATTAATATTTTTGTAATGTTTTTGAATGACGTCACACAAAGACTGCATTTATATGATCAAAAAATACCGCAAAATATTCTGAAATATTATTACAGTCTAAAATAGCTGCTATATAAATATAATTAAAAATGTCATTTATTCACATGACAAAGCTGAATTTTCCAGACACCTGAAGACTGGAGTAATGATGCTGAAAATTCAGCTTTGAACACAGGAATAAATTACATTTTAAGACCTATTCATATAGAAAACAGTTATTTTAAATTAAAATAATATTTTACAGTATTACTGTTTTGACTGTATTGAATAAATACAGCCTTGGTGAACATCTTTCTTTTAAAAACATACAAAAATCTGAATTATTCCAAACTTTTCACTGGCAGTATATATTCATCTTATTTTATTTTTCTTGTTTGTGTCTTATGTGTCTGATCTTTGTTCTCAGGGGACAGTTGGGAATGTAAGTGTGTCATGGCTGATGGACACCAGCGTACAGTCAGAACGGTGGCCTGGTCTCCCTGCGGGAAATATCTGGCATCAGCCAGCTTTGATGCCACAACATGCATCTGGAAGAAGACGAATGATGATTTTGAGGTTTGCTTTTGCATAAGCATAGTTTCAGACCCTTAAAAATTCAAGGAAGCGACATCATTCACATGTTGTCAGACTGACATGTCCGTCATGTGTGTTTACAGTCCCTGACAGTGTTAGAAGGTCATGAAAACGAGGTGAAGTGTGTCACCTGGGCTCCGTCTGGAAACTTACTAGCCACCTGCAGCAGAGACAAAAGTGTTTGGATCTGGGAAGGTATGTCAGGAATGAATAGTCTCTCTATAGCAAAAATACAACCTTTTTTTTTTTTTTAGAATGACATGCACTGACGAATAGTTCATAATAAGACAAGTAATGTGTTTTAGGAAAGTACATTTTTGATTTCATTTTCACTTTAAGGTTTGACTTTGACTTTAAGGTAGCAATTTTAAGTTAGTATATGTATCATCATAATTCCCCAGTTAAGTAATCAAAGTAGATTAACACAACTGTTTTGTATTACAAGTTTTCTGAAAGGTTGTTTAAATATGCAAATAAGACATTATCTAATTAAATATGCATACAGTATTTGCGTACATTTCATGAAATCTGATCATTAGATAAAGCCATTTTCATTTTGTTGGTATAGTAGAGTTAAAGGTTTTACAAAAGGAATATTGGATATCTATTTTAAATACTCCATAAATCAGAAAATACTGTTAACAGCCAGAAATATATATATATATATGTATGTGTGTGTGTGTGTGTGTATGTATATAT